ACAAAACATTCGAATCTGTTAACATCTATCTGGAATTAGAGATATGCAATATTGCAAGTGTAATAAGCTATGTAAGACTGCTCGATAAATATTTGCTTATACTAAAGCATATAACGACACGCTCTAATTGGCCGTCATTCAAAAGCCAATCCTAAAACATAACGTGCGCAGGACATTAAATATATGCGCCAACTTGCTCATTATCAGACAGCAGAACAATTTCGTGTCTTTTTTCACCGAAATTCAGAGATATTTTCTTATACTAGAGGTGAACAACCCTTGAAGAACTTTCGAGAGTTGTGGACGAAAAACTGATTCAAGAGATTTTAACAGACCTCTTCTAAAGTCATCGATGAATCGTCAATACAGCCATGCTCAGAATGAGACATAGCTTGTCTAGTGGCAAACCTTGGATAATACGCTGGATGTGCCGGAACTTTCCAGGGAAGCTATCGAAAGTTTTGTAGTGTGTGTAGTCTTGTATTCTTGGCGATGCCATTTCTATTGATCAATTCCGCTCTTGATTGCGTGCTTTAATCGCAATAGTTGTAGAGGGCAGATAGTGGCCCCAGTGATTTGATTTACGTTTCGCCACCGATTGAAGACTTTATTGTGTATTGTTGTCCCTTCTGTTGTTCTCTAAAACAATAGCTCGTTTTTGATTTTACTTTAGCACCAACTCACAAGCCGTTGCTTTCGCGACTAAGTCATCAAAAGTTTTACACGTAGATGATATATTTTCTTTTAGTTAGCTAGGGGCTGTCATCTTTCACCTATGTAGTGACTATGTTGGCTTGGCTTAGTCACGCCACTCTGCAGGCCTCTATTGCGAAAACGCTAGGCTATATGCCGTTATATATGCTTGATATATATATATATATATATATATATATATAAAGTAGGCGTATGACAATATAATGTATTTAGGCTTTCTGACTTTCGTGCTATGCATGACGAGATCTATAAGAACACACAAAAGCAATGAAATTTTGGACGTGTTCCAGAGATCATTCTTTTCAATTTTTCGACGCGTATGTGAATCTCCGGCATGTCTGCATACCTCGCATACATAGCACTTCTCAGAAGCATTCTATTTTTCTTAATTCTATCCGAAAATACTCGCAAATTGACCGCAGAGTTTTTTTACTTCGATAAACTGTTTCACAGTGTTAGGTTTGCATTATATGAAGACCATCGTAATCGTACGAGATTATTCAGAGAAACGAATTTTCTGATTTATCGCGAATTATGCGGAAAATGGGTTTATTTATTCAGTAAATCTGTAAACCCGTGAAAGAAGTCTACAAGTTTTTGAGTCGATCTAGTTGCGTGTTCTTCTCTTATTCTCGTGTAGGTAAATGAATTCAGAAATTTGAAATCTTTTGCAAAATTTTTCATATGTCGAATTTTTTTCGACCTCATCACGAGATTATATCAGTATTTTGTTATAGGTAAATAACACATCGCTAAATAAATCTTTTCGAATAGTACGAGCCTTCAAACGAAACCTGTCAAAATTGCGTGACACTCCGATCGTTAGTTTACAAGGTAAATTTGTAAGTTTCAAAACACTGTCGATCATTTAATGAACGAATCTGAGATTTTACTTCTTAATAAAAAAAAATACGGCTCATAACCGATGTTGATTTGAAAGGTGTTATGATAACTCTTGTCTGCCAAAAACAATTAATTTAAAGATGGACATGGATGGCGGGCACTTATTCCACGCCGAACCAAAAAAGGTTGTTTTGAAGGATGGCAAGTTGAAGTCGCGTGAGATGTTTACTACGTTGCATCAATACTTTTCCATGAGAAAGCTCGTTTCGCTCGTTTGCTCACTTATGACAACTACACGTTGATGATTCAGAGCGCCGTTGGAAGCCCTTAAGCAACATAAACAAGATTTTTTCATGCAATATGTTACAATGAATGAAAAATAAATTCATCACTGTATTTGTAAGTCAAAACGACAGTAGGCCGAGTGGAGAGCAGTCAGCGATAACCTCCAAAAAGACAAAAAGTATTCTGACTGAAACAACAGTAATTTGTGTCGAACGAATTGTCAGCATGTAATGAAATTTTGCCGTCTATCGATCGAAGGTCGGTGTCAGACCGGGGACTTATTGGGTGATGTAATATATGCTTATATAAAAAGAGGCATAAGTTTATGTATAAACCAGCCTCATAGGTGCTTAGCACTTTACCAGTTCTATTCACACTCTCTAATATTAATAAAATAGTTTGACGTAAGTTGATGCCTGCAAATCTGTTGTTTACCGGCGATAATGCAAAAGTATTATAAGGAAACAATAACAGCATATATCATAACCACTTTCCGTACAATATAATAGCCATAGCGTACATTAATTAATTAATCTTTGAAGCTATAAAAGCATTTACTTAAGTAAATTTGTTGATAAAAAGCGTCTAATTTCGGTTTATAGGAATTGCTTAACTCAAATCAACTCAACTCTTTCATTTGAAAAATAGCATAAGACAGCTTTTAGATGTAATTAAGAAAATTTAAGCGCTGTCTAATTATTTTATATGAAAAATTTCAGAAACTTATACAGAAAACTTTTAGACAGTATTCAAATTTCCTTCTTTTTTTTTTTTTTTTTTACATATGCATTTAGTTTAACTATAACCTCAAAGTACTTAAATGGTGTTGAGTTTTCGATATTCAAGTTCAATAATTAATTACAAAGGAAATTATCCTTGTGTCATCCTAATACAAACGACAGATTTGTTAGCCACCTTTTCGAATGTGTTTATACCTTACCTACATTACCTAATCCAAATATTTGGAAATCGAAAACTACCGGATTTAATTAGACACATCCGTCCGCTGGTCTTTATGAAGAATATTAAGAAATTTGGGTAATCATAAAATTTTCAGTTATCCATTGTTGCGGCAATGATGTATTCTTATTTAATCTCCATAGACTATAAGTCGCGAAGACATGGAGAATACTTGAAAAGAATAATTCCGTTACAATATATGCGCTATAAGGATTATCGGTTCGAATTTTAAAATTTTTTGAAACAATTTTTTTCTTTAAAACTAGAATTGAAATATTTTCAAAAAATGAAAAAAAAATTCTAACATATATGTATTTCCAACCAAGTATACGTTTAAATATTTGCTTTGAAATGATTTCATGAAAGACTTTTCTGAAAATAAAAATCTTTTTGAAAAACATTTGAGAGACAATTTTTTTAATGTTTGAATGGAAATTTTTTCCGATTGTTTACTTCGTCCACCACTTGTGGTATAAGAATATATGAAATTTGTGCGGATATGTGCAACACTCAGATGGACTTGAGTTAGACTCAATTTTTATTTTACCGATAATCTTGTCCGTCCAAATGTGCGTCTATCCATCTGATTTTCTTTACCTATAGATCGAAATTATTACGACATCGAACCAAGGACGAGCGCTAAAAGTGAAGTAAAATTTTAATAACATTTCTCAAAAGTTTTTGCCCTAGTTTCTCAAAAAATCTAAAACACAATCGTAATCGTATATATAAATACAATATTTTAAAATTTTTTCTTTAAATATATCCACTAAGGTTGGAAAATTTTATATTGAAGATTTGAGTGAAAATTTTCAAAATGACAGCTGATACGGTAATAAACTTAATTTTATTTAAATTCAAAAAAAAAAAAAAAATTTAATTCATTTTATTGTAAAGTATTTTTTTAGGAAAGTTATTAATGCGCAAGTTAAGAGGTAACATGAAATTGTGTTTTAAACGTGATCGGAACCATCTTTTTTAAAATTAGTGTAATAATAACAATTTCGTACTAAGCCATTCACTATTAAGCAAACAAGGTTTAGACAGTTTCAAGGGCGATTTTAAATTATATATTATTCCCACTATTTCCCCTTGGATTGCTATCGTTTTGTAGGCAATAAATTTTTAACTTTATATATTAGCATTTAATAAACAGGTAAGCGTATAATAAAACCAGGCAGAATTAATCTGGTCCGTTAGTTTTAACGTGAATAAAAGCTATAATTAACTGTCACCTCTATGGCTAATAAATTCATTATTATATCATTGCAATTATTATCATTTTTTATATAACTTTTTCTTTTTCTTTTTTTTTTTTTTTTTTTTTTGCTCTACATTCGTACTATAAAATGTTGGGAAAAATAATTGGGGTAACTTAAGCTATTGAGAGCGCTTAAAGCAGCCAACACAGACTAAACGAATTTGTTGATCTGCAACAACAAATGTTTAGGTTCTATTTTAACGTATATTATTAAGCACATACACAATAAAACTATCAGCGAATACAAGCGTAGTACTTTCATCGTTACGTTTGCAGCTTGCATACGAGTAGACTTTAGAAGAATATATGCTATGATATTTTCCGTGATGTTCGTGACATCCTGAAATGATTCCTTTGGGAAGTGATCTATTATCAAGATACGTTCAGTTCAGCCTTCTAAATGACACAATTAGGGGGAATATATCTACACTTGACTAGACACAACATTCTGAATTGTTTGCCCAATCCATCCCATGTATAGCATGGAATACTTTAAAATCCTAAACTTCAAGCGCTAAGAGAATGTTAAACTCAACTTTGTAAGGACAATTCTGCGAATATATAAACTACTCAACAAGTCTTATGCATAAATTGAAAAATTTGAAAATTCATCTCACAATAATTTAAAACCGATAGCAGTCATTGACGTTATTAGCTTGGCTGTAATCAAATAAAAATCAATTACCAGAGACTTTTCTCTCTCTTTAAAATCCAACACGCAATTGAATGTTAGGATCTGGAGGCTTTCAAAATTCGACTTTAGTTAGATGTGTGCATTAATCTATTACTTAGTATATTTTTTTTCTGACCTTCCTTCCCCATAAAAACGCTATAAAATTACTAAAGATATCGGAAAAAAAATTAAAAAAAAAAAATAAAAACAAATACTACAAGTGTAGTAAATTAAAATTAAATATTAATGATCTAAGCAACTTACTCAGTCAGGTTGTGTTGTTGACGCTGTCGTTTCATATTTTTTTTTTTTTTTTTTTTTTTGTTTTGTTTTTTTCTTCTGTTTTTTCGATTTGGTTTAGTTTTTGGTTTGATTTTAGTGGTTGTTTGAAAATGTGTTAGATAGCAGCACAGCTTGACCATTGAGATTAATTGTAGATGGTTTTTAACAGATAACCAAGCGGTAAAAAAAAAAAAAAAAAAAAAAAAAACTGGTGTGTGTGGTTTACAAACACATACTTAGACTTACAATTACTTGCTTTTATCCATAAGTACGTGCATACAAAGATTTTTATGAAAAGAAGTTGTCCGTGCTGTGTGTTTGTGTGTATTTTGTTTAGTTGAGTTTTATTATTCAAAGACATGTCAATTATAGGTTTTAGAGTTTTTAGACCAAGTTCACACATAACGCTTCAATGTCATTTCAACAGTCTTTCGAAAAAAAAGGTAACAATAAATAATAATAAATAAATAAATAAATAAATAAGAACACTTTTATACCAACAACACTTTCACAATTCACTTAATCAGCCAGCCAGCCAGCCAGCCAGCTAGCCAGTCATCCAACCAGCCAGCCGGCCAGCGAGTCATTTGAAGTGTTGCTGCTTGGTCTGCTGTACAGTCCACACAAACGCATATACATATCGAAGCATATAGACCACAATAAAACATATCTACACTCATACACAAATACTCAAACACACACACACACACACATATATATATATATATATATATATATACACGCAACACATACACTTGTTCAGCACAGAGACACTAGTGACACAATGTCAGTAACAATATTAGAGTTATAAATCACTTTATGTGCTAGAGTGCGTAATAAGTGTATATATATATATATATATATATATATATATATACAGATATATGCATATATATATACATATGTGTGTGTGCCTGTGCATATGCGCGTGTTTTTGGCAAACATGAAACATAAAAATCACACCATAACTCTGAACATTGCTCATGTCATTTATATGTTGTACCTAGCCTTGAACATCTCATGTCCATGCATGCACAACTTCACTAAGTCTGCATATCTATGGTTACATTTTGTGTGCTGCTGTCACTCTATAGGCTTGATAAACACATTTCTATTCAAAGAGTATTTTATTTTTTTTGTTTTATTTTCTTTTTTTTATATATATATTCTTTTTTTTTTTTTTTGCTATTTTGTCATTTTTGTTATTTTGTAGCTTTATGTTGCGGCCTCCAAGATTTATGACATCCAAGAGTAGAAAAGTTTTTCTTTTTTTATTACATTTCCTTTCTTCTTCTTTTTTTTTTTTGTCGCTTTTTCGGTCGTTTATAACATAGTATTTATTGATGCTGTTATTGGTGTTGCAGTAAAAGCAATGACCAGCAATTTTATTTTAAAAAAGTCTTGCCATGCTGCTGGCTGTTGTTCTATGAACGACTGTTGATGATGAACTGAACCGCCATCAGGATATGAATTATATCAAAGAGTCTCCAGCAGCAGGTTGTCGGTGCAAAATCACTTCTACACACATATATATATATATATATATATATATATAACAAACATATGTATATGTACAAACCCATCGGACATACCACACTAACTCATTTGTATATATATTTTCAGTAAAGAATGCAAGAACAGGAAAAAAACAACAAATAAAACAAACAAAACTTTTATAAACTGCACAAAAAATTAATGCGCACGCGGCCTTAAATCATTTAAACATGGAAAAAAAAAAGCAAAAAAAAGAAACCATTACTTTGCATTGAAGTACAAAGCAAAAAAAAAGGAAGAAAATTTCTGCCTCATTTTTATTTTATGCTTAATATTCCACAGAAAATGAAAAACAGACCGGCTCACCCTCTTAGCCCTCTCACCAAGCAAAGTGAGTACGACAACAGAACAACACGATAAGCGACAAATATCAAACATCAACTGTTTTGTACACTGAATGAAACTGCGAGACCATAAAACACCATAATAACGCAAATGCAGAGCAAACATTGATACACATACACAACGATATTGAAATATAAATACAATTGATATTGGAATCATACATGTGATATATATGTAGCGCGCATCTAAGTGTGCATATATATATATGTATGTTTATATGTATGTATATATGCATATATAGGTGAAATATATATATATATATATATATATATATATATATATATATATGTATATATGTATATATGTATAAAATATATAAATATGTCTATAGAGACATATCCCATACAAACTCACGCAAATTGCATTGTACATATGTACATACATACCAACATATATATATGTCTTGACGCTAGAACCTCATTTATCGCACCAACTCAGTCTCCTTCCTACTACCGTTACCAACACCTACGGCAAATACAGCAACATTTTGATTCGAATAGCAATTGTATTCGTATTTCAGTATTTCAGCGCTTTTCTTCCTTTTGCCTAAACAAAAAAAAAAAAAAAAAAAAAAATAACAATTAACAACAACAAAAAAAAAAAAACCAATAAGAAATTCGATAGAAAAAGCCTCATAGAAACTTTAATAGGAAATCTAAGCTCGCTATGCACCGAAGTAAAAGTATATTCTCTCTTAGAAACTCTGAACGAACAGATCCATAAGTTCAGAAAGAAACTTACAGCTTCTTCGCTTAAGATTTGCGTTAATTAAGTAAAAATTGATAAAATTGTGTTTTCAGTGCGATCCCAAACTCTCTCTCTTTCTCTCTCTCTCTCTCTCTCTCTCTCTCTCTTTCTGTTTCTCTTTCTCTGTAATAGCACACCGATCGATGAACTAAAAATACTAACCCGTTTTTATGGCTTCTTACCTTGTCGCGTTAATTCCCAAAAAGCCATATGTAAGGGAAAAATTTTCTATGTATTTGTGTTGACTTTTCTTTTTTGTCTGTGTTTTTTGGCGGGGTTGCTGTCTTTCTGTTAAATATCCATTTTTTTCTTCCTAATATTTTTTCATCGAAATTTCTGCACACTTTTCATAAACTGAACAAAAGAAAATTTAAAAAAAAAAAATGGGGAAATTTTTCTCTCCGTCTTATATACAAAAAAATGAAAAAAGTTGTTCTAGCACAGAATATAAATGTACATATAAACACAAGAACATACATACATATACGCGCAAGTATTTGTATCTTTCTGCTTGATACTCCAGAAAAAAATAAATAAACAAAAATAAAAATAAAGTGAATCATTGTGTGGGCTGTAAGCCGTCGAGTCTGCCCTTAACGTTTCCCATATTGAATCTTATTAAGCGCGGAATGGCCAAATCAATCAAATCGTGATCGAAAGCAATGTAACAAGTACTCATAATGCATTCACACTCGAGGATGAAATGCTGTTAATGCGATTAGATTTTACTTTCGATTCAATCCGAGCCATATGAGTAATCATTTGCGTGCATAAGAAGCGGAATTTATCATCCGAGAAGCCTACATAAGATCTATCGGAGCTAAAGGTTATAACTCAAGCACTCTATGGAAAAAAAAATATATGCAAGAACCAGATCGTGCGTTGAAAACAAAAAGGATATAGATTTTGATCATTTTGTGCATTTGATCGAGCTTTCGTTTGCACTCAAAGGAAAAGTTTTTTATAAATGAGAATTGACTTCAAACCATTGGTAATGCCATGGGTTGTACGCATTCTGTTGTGTAACTTTAATATATAGCGTATATGGGACGTCTCAAATATACTCTCGTTTAAATTAACTCGCCGAGAAAGTCATACGTACAAATTTATATAGATAGCGTAATATTCGAAATAACCATAAGGAGTAAGGAATTTAAGATTCAAATTTTTCTTACTTTGACTAAGTGCGGATGTATCTACCGGTTAACTTTTCATAACGATAGAATCAGATCTGACTTCAATCAGATCGGATATAACTGTAAATTGCTTTAAGATTTCTCATCGATCAACAATTAACGGGACTAAGAAAGGAAAACTATTTTCTTCTATGAAATTCAGATTGATTCTTCAAGAGTTATGCAGTTAGTGCAAAGACTCTGTAACATTTCAATTGAATATGTGCCTGATCTGCCTTTGATACCTATTTTCAGAAGTCAATCAATCTCTAATGTATTATCTATGGCACATATAATACACAAAGCTTAAACGTCTTGTACGTTAAGCACGCAATGAACGGCAGCAAGTTGTTTGAAACCTTTCACGCGCTGGTTTGCCAAATATATATATATATATATATATATATATATATATATAATCCGAAATGTTCTATTATATCTCATGCAGCTCGAAATATTTTAAAATTTTTTATATTTTCTTCGAAATGATTTCACGTTTCTTTTTTACTTTTTTTGCTATCGTAAGTGAGTAGTGTTCGATTTCAAATCTTATTAAAATAACTTAACTAATTGTACATTTACTAAAGCTCACATTTTTGAGTCAGTTTTTCAATTTTAACAATAGGAAGGAAATAGAATAAACGAAAAATAAAAGAGAAAGAGAAATGAAGAATAGAAACCGCCCAGACGTAAACATACACATATAGGAATAAAGAAAGAAAAAAACAATAAAAACAAAAAAAAAAAGAAAGGCCAAACAAAAATACTCAATCATTTTACCACTTATCTATAAAAAAAAAAAAAAACCTCGAATCCATCATGAGCCCACAACTGGCCATTCAGGCATGAACTGTACGTATGTATAAAAATTAAATATTTCTATACGTAATACTTGCTAAGAGCGTACAAAATCAATGGACGCATACTGTGCGTGTGTGTCCATATATACGTATATAGATAGATATATATCTCCTCTATTAACCACCTCTAATTAAACGCTTCGTGATATGCAGGAATAGGAAAAATGTTGCCAACCAAAGAAATGTTGCGAAAAAAAAAAAACAACAAATATTGAGTGAAAAAAAAACCTGTATTTTATGTACGACTACATATGTTACATATCTAATATATATATATATATATATATATATATATAAAAGCGAATGCACATATTAAATAAAAATATTAGAAGAAGGGTGGTTTTCATACAACTCCAAGTTCACCGGCCTACGCTTGCCTATCATTATTAAGGGTAAATTTCAGTTCAACTACTTGTTAGTTTTGAAACATTTTCTAAAAAATTATTGAAATTCTATTAGTTTGTTGTTATGCCTGATTACTATACAGCACTGTGTAACTCGTAAGCTAACAAGGCTTAAGGGGAAGAGCACTAAATAAATAGTTAAGACCACCACTATGGCGTAATGTGAAGCAAAAAAAAAAAAAAAAAAAACAAAAACAAAAACAAAAGGAAAAGGAAAAGAAAATAGGAAAAAGGAAAAGTTTACATGTGTGGGTTTTTATAATTTTTCTTCTTTTCGTTCTGTTCTTCAAAGACAAGCCGTTGTTTGAAAATTAATCAGCAATATGGCTTCGTATTGAACTGTATTGAACTGCTGCGTTTTAGTTACACTCTCTGCCTTTAGCTCTCTCCGTCTCTTTCTTTTTATTGCAGCTCTCTGAGTTGTTCGCGTTTTTTTTTTTTTTTTCTTTCTATAGTATTTAGGGGAGTATTAGAAATACACTGTCATAACTATATATACATATATATATATATATATATATATATATATATATATAGAAAAAATTATAAAAAATATGCAAAAAAAAAAATAAAATAAAAAAACGAGAAAAAATGCGAACTTAAATAAAAATAGCAGTAAAAAAACTCCGCCCACTTAAGACGCTTGCGCGTTAATTGCAGTAGAAGCGTGTGCAATTTTAGCGGTTTAATAAAAGCCCCCTGTGCTGCGCTACACTCCCTAAGACTTTTAGAAAAGAGGAAAAAAAATAATAATAAATAAATAATATATAAAATTATACATCTACACACAAAACACCTCTCACGGTGCTTAAATACGCTTCTATGTATACTTTATTTTTACATGTAGCCTATGAGGTATATTAAATTCATTTCGCTACTTGTTACACCTCAAAGTGAAGAGGATAAAATCTAGTATTCTTTCTCTCCCTCTCTCTCTCTCTCACTCGCTCTCCCTCCCACTTTACCACAAACCGCCCAAACAATCCGTTAGTGTTTTAGGTAACTTCGCCTAATCAATTCATGCTAATGACTGTATCTGGAACATAAAATTCTGGTTCTTAAATTTCTCGCTTTTAATTTCGCCACAAATTTATAGGAATATCGCAATTACGTCAATTACTTTATTCATTGTATTAATAAATGTATTAATAACGATACCATATATGATAACCAAAACAGCAACAAAAAAGTATCGTTGGCAGTGTCGTTAATATCATAATTTTTTCAATCCATTAGTAAATATGTTATTTCATGTTATGAATACTAAATAATTAGTAAATAATATACGTAAAATTTTTATATGCATAATAAAAAAAAAATAGATAAACCAATAG